AAGCCAGGAGCCAGGGGCTTCATCTGGGTCTCCCCTGTGTGTGGCAAGGGTCCAAGTACTTGGGCCATCCTCTGCTGCTTTCCCAGGCACATTAGCTGGGAGCTGGATTGGAAGTGGAGCACCTGGGATGGGAACCAGCACCCATATGGAATGCCAGCACTGCGGGCGGCAGTTTTACCTGCTACACCACAGCACCAGCCCTTATTATATTCTTACTAAAACTGTTATTAGAGTTTCAATACATCACAACTTTGAACTTCTGTTGCCAGTAACAGAGGTATGTTATCTATATAAACTTTAAAGTACAACTCTATACATTTATATTTAATAACATTCTCCATGTATTTAATTAGTTTATTTGGAAAGCAGAGAGAAAAGAGAGAGAGATCTTCCATCTGCTTGTTCACTTCCCAAATGTCCTGCAAAAGCCAGGGCTGGGCCAGACCAAAGCCAGGAACTCAGGGCCCCATCCTGGTCTCCCACATAGCCAAGTACTTGATGATCATCGATCGCCTCCCAGTGTGTGTATTAGCAGAAAGCTGGATTGGATACGGCATGGGGCTCAAAGCCAAGGTCTCTGATGTGGGACAAGGGCAATCCCAGCACTGCCTGACCGCTACAGCAAGCACCCGCCCCACCCATTGCCACTGGGTTGACTGTAGGAAATCCAGAGGAAGGAAACAGAATCAATGTGGGAAAAACCAACCAACGCAGCCTGTTAACATTCCTCCTAGATATTAAGGGGCTCATGAAATCACCAAGGTAAGTCTTCATTTACATGACGCTATCAAGGAAGGCATCATTCTCATTGGATGATTTCCAGACAACTGAAGCTTATAAACTGAGGTATAAACATTCAAGAAAAGGCAAGCATTTTTGTTAAATGAAATTTATCATAAAATGCACTGACCCATGTACCTGAGTCTCCTAAATAGAGTATACTTCATGTAGTTTATTTATGATAGCTCAAATTCACCACGCCTACAGGACGCCTCCAAGGCAAACAGGCACACACACGCACACACACACACACTGTACGGCTCTGCATTTTAGTCCCTGTAATTACAAGTTAGAAACATTTCCTGTAACATCTCCGCTCTTGCAGATTTCAGTCACTTAACCTGCTGAAATCAAGATTATACTCACTTCAAAGACACTGTTACCACCTTGCAGGCAACAGCTCAAGGTGTCAGAGTGCTAACAATTTTCTTTTCGTGTAGCAGTGCAAAAATCCTATCCCTGCTAAAGTGTAGCTTTGCTAGAATGAGCTGAAGCCGATAGTTTCAATGAGTTACGTAGTCTATATTTCCCAATGAAAGCAATTCTTGATGAAAATATTCCAGATCATCAGTGAACCAGTTCACAAGCTGAGAGCATTTTCAAATCAGTTTCCAAACAGTTATGAACAGCTGTTGGTGACGCAGTGCAATGTGCACCTGTGATTCCCAGTTACCTCTGCAGCTACCTGGTCCCCTCCTTTCTTCATCTCCTCATTCCCTGACTCGTACTGGGCATCTGGGAAATGCCCATTAATACAATACTGGCTTAAAGAAAACTTATTTGGCTTTGCTTATGTAAATCTGTACACCCAGTTCTATGAAGATCAGAATAACTTTTTTTTTACTTGCCTGCATAGTGAGATTCAAAATATTGTTATGCCTGAGAAGTCCAGCACGTTAGGTTATAAAGCAGCTGATGACTGGAAGGGCAAAGCAAATGGGGGAATATCCCTACATAGGGCCGCACAGAGCTGCAGTGTTATCACTGGATGGGGCCTTCGGATGGTGCATTGTTTACATCCTTCAACTAAACCCAAGAGCAACTTGACTGACTCAAACTCACACTGCTAGTTAGTGGACAAGCCACAAGTAGCCTCAAGACTTCTGGGATCCATTTGTTGGAGCTACTCTAAGAGTACTAACACTTCCATTTGTAAAGGTTTTCCATTTTCATTGCAGTAAAATATACCTGACAATATTAGCCAGGTTGCATCACTAACCTTTATGTTTCCATTCTGGAACAAGGGGAAGGAAACACACAAAACCTCAGAGCAGCCCAGGAGGTAGCACCAGCACATCAGTACTAAAGCCAAACATTCTCTCCCAAGTCTCTCCCAAATGAATGAATAAACCAAACGTGTCCCCTTTGAGCTGGGAAAGACGTGGTGTTTGGAGCAAGAGCCTTGCGAAGAAAATGTTCTCCTCCCTCCCACACGCAGCGCATACCATCCACCACTCCAGGAACACCAGGAAGAAAGGCCAGCTGGGCTCTGCTGTGTTTCACAGCCAAGTCCTAACCACCTCTCTCCCAAACCAAGCCAGACTCACGGGGACAAGGTGCGGTCAATAATAACAGCAACAGGAAAACACCACACACCACCCGCAACCCCAGGCTTTATCACTAACTGAGACGGTTCCCCGGATAGGAGCAGCTCTCACTGTTCCGTAGTCACTGGCTGGTGGCATCATCCCAAGCGTAGCCCGGCTTCTTGGTCCTAATGCTCTTGTCCCTTCACCATGGCTCGGCACAGAGCCCTCGCAGTGAGCCCGGTGTGCAGACAGGAAGAACCCACTCGCTGCGGCGCTGTTTCCTACCCATTTCAGATCATGTTACCAAACATGACTCATTCTCTCCCACTCACTTCCTTATTTAAACTTTCCCTGCTGAACAGTCAGCATTTAAATTAATTCACTAGCTGGAAAGAAAGAAAGCATGGACTCTTCTTCATTTGGAATTTTTTTTTCAGGGTCAGTGAAAACTGAACCTGGAGATTGACTGCACGTCAGTTAAGCTTCCACAAGCACTCGCCAATTGCATTTTATAGTATCAGCCCTTCTGAGTTTCTGCCCTTGTTAACACAAACTGGGACACAGCACCACAAAGGATCCTAGAGAGATTTAAGACTTGGATCTGTCATTTACAGATTTTCCTACAATCATCAAATTTTTAATTCTTCCAATATCCCACCTAAGTCCCTCTTACTGATGACACTAAATAACTCAGAGAGGGAAGCTTTGTTCTTGTATTCCAGGAAGGGAACAGTTTCTGACACCAGGGAAACGTACGGTGATACTCGCATAGCACCTCCGATCCAAGAAATCCCCAGGCCTTTGTCAAGGCCATGTTCACCAGTACTCCCCAAGCAGAATGCTCACCAGTTTCCAATGGCCTTATTCATGGAATTACACAAAGATTTCTGCTGTGACACAAGTAAATTATGAATATGAGGGGACTTCAAAAAAATCTGTAGAAAAATGCAATTGAGTTTATTTTGGTACAAAAATTTTTTTTCCAAAGATTTTTATTTATTTGAAAGGCAGAGTTAGAGACAGAGAGAGAGAGATGGATCTCCCATCCCCTGGCTCACTTCCCAAACAGCCACAACAGTCAGGGCTGGGCCAGGCTGAAGCCAGGAGGCTGAACGCCATCCAGGTCTCCCACAAGGCTGCAGGGGCCCAAACACGGGGGCCATCTGCTGCTGCTTTCCCAGGCCCATTAGCAGGGAGCTGCATTGGAAGTGGCGCAGCCAGGACTCCAACCAGGAGCCAGTATGGGTTGCTAGTGTGGCAGGCAGTGGCTTTACCCACTGCGCCACAAGGCTGGCACCTCCCCCTTTTGTTTGCATAATATGTAGAAAATGCATATTACGAAAAAAAAAAAAAACCCGCATGGGTTTCAAAATAATTTTTCCACCAAGGCAACTGTAAACTTTTAGTTCCCCTTTTTTCGTAGACTTTTTGAAGTCCCCATATCTGCTTCAGCAGCAGGTCAGCTTTCTCGGAGCTGAGATTTTGCACGCGCACAGCAACAGCATCCAGGTGTACCTCCTCCTGAGACAGGCCTTGAACCCGCGGCTGGCCACGCTCCTGCCCTCTCTAAAGCATTATCGGTGGCTTCTGCATCCATCAACCTTTCCTGCCTTCATCCATTTATTCTTGCTGCATCAGAGACCCAGCACAGCCTTAGAGTCAGCCCTGGGCTTTACTGGTGACACACAGTGGAGTGACCTGGAAAAGGACCATTCTTTCTCCTATAAAGGAACTGCTGAACTAAAATGATCCTTAGGTGCCTGTTGAACGCCAAGATTAAGCCATTGATCAAAAAACTGGGTAGCGGCCGGCGCCGTGGCTCACTAGGCTAATCCTCCACCTGCGGTGCCGGCATCCCGGGTTCTAGTCCCAGTTGGGGCACCAGATTCTGTCCCGGTTGCTCCTCTTCCTGTTCAGCTCTCTGCTGTGGCCCGGGAGTGCAGTGGAGGATGGCCCAAGTCCTTGGGCCCTGCACCCTCATTGGGAGACCAGGAGGAAGCGCCTGGCTCCTGGCTTCAGATCAGCGCGGTGCACCGGCCGCAGCGGCCATTGGAGGGTGACCCAACAGAAAAGGAAGACCTTTCTCTCTGTCTCTCTCTCTCACTGTCCACTCTGCATGTCAAAAAAGAAAAAACAAACAAAAAACAAACAAACAAACAAAAAAACAAAAACAACCTGGGTAGCAATTAGGAAACATGAAAAAGACAAGAAGCCTAGAGCTATACATCTAATCCACTGAATAACCTGGAAATACTTCCATGTTCACGGCTACACAAGTAGCAAGTGGTGAATTCACCTTCCAAGTCTGTTATGTCTTCAACTAGACAAGAAACTTCTGAAAACCGCAGACTGTGGAACCTGCTCTTGCCTGGACCTCACCCGGGGAGTGGGGGGATGCAGCACCCACCCCGGCCCCTACCCAGGAATGTTGGCTTCCCACAAGACAAGAGCACACGTGTGCTTTTCCTCCATCCGAGTCTCCCCTGCTCTGACTCCTGATACCCCAAGAGACATCAACACAGAGAGAAACAGTGAAGTTGCTGCCGGTGCAAGAGGGGGAAGGTCCAGGAGCACAGGAGCCCGCAGGGCCTGCAGCCGCCGCTGTGAGCGCCACGCCTGCGCCGGGCTCCGCGCTGCGGCTTGAGGGTTTACAAGGGCAGCAGGCCGCACCCGCTGAGCCCCGCGCTCTACCTTCATCTCCGCCGAATGGTCCGGCTGCTCCGGGTCCAGAGGGCTCTCTCCATCGTCCCTCTCCTGTGCCTTGGCTTCCAAGTCCGCCGCTCCTGCTAGCGGGAGCTGGGAGCCACCGCCGGGAGTCCCGCTGCTGTCCTCCGAAGCCATCGCATCACAGTCGGCGGCAGCAGGTGATGCGGGGCCAGGGGCCGCCGCGTCTCCCTCTCCGTTCACCATGTGCGCATCAAGCAAGGGTTGGGACGGCTGCGTGGGCGCCTCGGCGTTCGGCAGGGCTGCCTTGTCCTCGTCGCTCAAGGTCTGGCCCTTTGCGGCCATCACGCCGTTAGCCACGCAAGTCTGGGGGCCCTGAGTCTGACTGGCACCATTGCCCTGTGTGGGGGGCGGGGGCGGGGAGAGCAGCTTTTGTGGCGGGGAGGCTGTCAGCCCGTGCCTTGCGGGGGTTCTGGGAGCATTTGGGTTCGCAGCGGAATCTTTCTTCAAATCAGTACAATTTGATAACGCACTGAAAGATACAATAAAGAGAAGCATGAAACCATCCGCAGGGGAAAGGTGGAGTAAAGACGTGCTATCCCGCGCCAGTCTGCGATTCTGCGCATTTCCCCCCATGTCTGCTTCAAACATTCCTCCTGAGACACTGCTCGCATGTAAATGAAGACAACGGAGTGGCCTGGACACCTCCGTGGGCCGTGCGGAACTGTCACTAGTTCGTCCTAAGACGCGACCATAAGAAAGTCACATTCAGCCAAGTCTCTCCCTGAGATTTTAACTTGAGCGTTTTGAAAACAATTACAGCCAGCCTTCAACGCAGGAACAGACTATGGAACAAAAATATATTTTTATTTGGAAAGCAGAATATATTCTCAAAGGCTGTACTGAACACACGGCATCACCCTCCTAATGGTCTCTTCGACCTCCTCCAATCTCTTCTCTACAAGTGAGACAGAGGTTGAAACTCTGAGGGCCAGAATGCGGGGGCAGCAGTGATGGCTCAAGTAATGGGGTTCCTGCCACCCCTGTGGCTGATCTCAACGACTGACTTCCCAGCTCCCAGTTCTGGCCTGACCCAGGTCCAGCTGTCGCCGGCATTTGAGGAGTGATGCGGCGGCTCGAAGACCCCCCTCCCCCCACCGAGTGTGTGAGTGTGTGTGTGAGTGTGTGCGTGTGCTGTGTCATGCAGGGGAGATCTGGGGTACATACAGGAGGGGAAAGGGTTAGGAAAGGCAGTAGTTGAACCAGAACCTAAACGATTCTTGTTGTTTTATAGACAGCAAACCACAGAGGAAAACAGTTGGCTTTGCCGTCTCCTTGGGAAAATCCAATGTTGAGGTCTGCAGGAAAATGTTATTCATGACTGAAATCCTGAAGTCCATCACGGGTGAGACAGAAAGAGGGAGAGAGGCAGGGGAAAGGAAACCACAGCAAAAACACAAAGTCTATGCACTTGCTTCAGAGGACTCTTCCTATTGAAACAGCGTCACTGGACAATGCTGTCACACGCAGGGAAGGTCTTAAGGTGAGGGCGGCCTGGCCGTCACCGTCTGTCAGGTTCCTGCGGGCCTCAGATGGGACTCTACCACCCTGCCACAAAGTGCCGGGGGAAGTGGGGACAACCAGCACTCAAGCAGAAAACCACCCTGCAGGCGCTTGGCTGAAAAGCATTCCCACCCAAGTCTTCCAGACCCAAGGAAGCATGAATCCACCCAGGGTGTGCTGGTGACAGCCTGCCAGGAGGTGTCACACTTGTGCTGGCAGGGGGCTCAGGCACAAAGGATGCCGTCCTATCAGATGCGCCCAGACCCCAAACCCCACCCCCAAGTCTGGACTCACAACACACCTGCCTCCAGGCCCTGGTAACAGACAGTGCGTCTGTCCTAGGAGCAAAGCTTCAGGCTCTACATCAAAGAATCAACTGAAATCGGTATTAAGTGCACAAACAGCAAACATTTCTCTTGTGTAGGGAAGAATCCAAAACAATGCACACAGTGACGGAGCACCCTCCACCCAGAGCTGCCCCTGAAAGCTGGGGATGTGGCAGGGTGGGGAGGGGGCACCAGCCTCTCCTTACACGGGGGCAGCCCCTTGGAGTCTGCCAACAGCAGGGGCTGGGCTCTGCTGTTATTAAGTCAACTGATTGAGAAACAATGGATGTTTGTAATGAGATTAAATCATCCCAGTAAAGAGTTAAAATTCAAGACGGCAAAAAGTATTTTATAAATCCTACTTGAGAAGGCAGATACGGACACTTAAATATTTATGCCGAAGCTCCCACAACTGATTCGGATGAAAAATGAAGGCCGCCTTCTAAATCACTTTTCTCCAGAACTTGGAACTAAATATAGTCTCATTTTACAGCAGGGACACTGCAGTTTTGTGCTTGGTCACAGTTCCCAGGTGATTCTGAACGTATTTCCAAAGTTATGATTTCATTAGCTAAGTGACAGTGAATCTAATAAATACACGAAATCATCTAATAGGAAGCCACGGCCCAGATTACACTGGAGTGGATGGAGATACCTGAACTCAGTGTTGAAAGAGGAGTTGTTCACAGTTTAAGTGCAGGTTTCTGGGTGTTATAAACAAAATCCATCAGATAATTCTTTTTACATTTTTTTACCAGTGATTTAAAATTTTTTAAGCCAGTGATGGGAAACCTATCAAAAGCCTCTGGAGAAACAAGTGAGGGTCTTTCCAAAATTAAAAATAAATAACAATGAAAGCCCTCCCCCCAACCCACACACAAAATGAAAGAGAAAGAAATAGATCTATCCAGTGGTTACTCCCCAAATCCCGAAAGATCCAGAGCTGGACCAGGCTGAAGCCAGGAACTCCATCCAAATCCTCCACGTGGGTGACTTCAGCCACTGTCTGCTGCCTCCCAGGTGCATTAACAAGAAGCTGGATCAGCAGCTGAGGTCGGACTCAATTCCAGACACTCCCAGATATGGGAGGCAGGCAACCCAAGCAGCAGCTAAAGCCACTGCACCAGGATGCCTGCCCCAGTGAGGGTCTTAAAGTAGAAAAGGGCTTGTTTTCATATTTAAGCAAGAAATATGCTTTATTCCACCTACCTGTTTTATTTAGTACCAGCAGGCTTTGCACCTGCTTGGGTATGAATGACCCATGTGAAATAAAATAGGTCAGGAAGCCGAGAGGGCCCCAGGGACAAGGCAAGCCCACCAGCCACACTCACACAGACACTAAGGAAGAGACAAAGCGGCGAACCTCGGCCCCTTCCCACTGACACCCAGTCCCCGACAGAGGAGTGACACCATGAGCAGCGACACCCACAGAGTGACACACAGGGGGACGGCAGGAGAACACAGCCATGCAGAAGAGCTGGTGGCCTCGGGGCCTGCACACAGGTCAGACAGAGTAAATGACAACTCATATTAGGGCAAGATAACGGAGACAGATACTATGCTTCTGAGCCAGCAAAGCTGGGGTTCTCTCATCATTACAAAAATCTGCTTGCGTTTTCCCTCTTCCTCCTCCCGTGGTGAATGGACTCTTACCTGCCTCCTTCAAAGCGGCTGATGAGATCGGATACCTTACTGGGCTTTTCTTTTGAGACACAAGGAGCGGAGGAAGGCTTAATCTCCTCCATCCTCGGCTGTGCACTAGATAAAGCTTTGAGCCTGGGATTTTGGTGTTTACTGGGCGAAGGTGAGTTCTGCAGGTGTAATGGCTTTGGAGGCACTGTAGAAAAAGAAGAGAATGCAAGATTTCACCGACAAAAATTCTGCTGAGCTGGACGCACTTATCTTCAGCTTTATCCAAATACTGTAAATTTAAACTGACCTTTAACCAGAAGACCTCCATTTATTTGGGACATTTGCACTGTGGCCCGTGGAAATCTCATCTTCAAATTACAGTGCTCTTTCAATTTTAGTTTCTCTTAAATACGGCATGATTAAACATAGAGGAACCTACATGAGGCCACTGTGTTCCAAATTCTGTAAGAGCTAACACAGCTGACCTTGAAACTGAATGCCAGAGAAATTGTTTGCTACAAAACAGATGTTTTAGTGATAGTGCTAACAGATAAACCAGAATCCAGAATTACTAAGTTAAACAGCATAGAAGCCAATGAAACAACACCTAAGAATGTAACACTGCATCCACATAGCATCTTCCCAGGGCTGGCACTCTGCCACAGCAGGTAAAGGAGCCACCTGTGACGCCAGCATCCACACAGGCAGCAGGTAGCATCCCAGCTGCTCCACTTCCAATCCAGCTTCCTGCTACTGTGCCTGGGCAAGGCAGCGGGAGGTGTTCCAAGTTCTTAAGCTCCTGGACCTACATGGGAGACCTGGATGAAGCTACTGGCTCTGGCTTCCGCCTGGCCCAGTCCTGGCCATCTGAGGAGTGAACAAGTGGATGGAAGATCTCTCTATAACTCTTTCAAATAAATAAATACATCTTAACAAGTACATAGAGCATCTTACCAGAAGCATTGCATCTCTTTCACTCTTGGGGAAAGTTTACAATGTATAGTCCTCTGGGGAGGAATCATTACTTGTATCTGAAGTGGATAAAGGCACCTGCCTGGGCCAGCAAGGCTGCGCTGACGCTATGCCTGGTACCAAGACACCAGCTCCTTCCATTATCAGCACCGCTGCTGCTCTTGACCAGCGCAGCAGCGGGAGGAGGAGGGACAGCAAAGCTGTGCGCTGTGGGCTGCTACACCACCCAGCGGCCGTGCATAGACTTTCCACACATCACGTGCTAGTCAGCAAGCCCCTGGCTCCATTAACAGTAACATTTACATGGTGAAACACGGAACGCTACGCAATTTCCGGAACAGAATGCAGATGAGAAAATACAGGGCGCTCTGGGTGTGTGATCAGTACAATTACGCAACTTTTGAAAACCACCATGATTTCGCTCTAAGATTAATATTCACATTCAAAGACTATAACGTATACGTATTTCTTTTTTAAGATTTGTTTATCTGAAAGGCAGAGTTACAGACAGGCAGAGAGAGAGAGACAGAGAGAGGCCGTTCATCCACTGGTTCACTCCTCAGATGGCTGCAATGGCCAGAGCTTTGCTGATCTGAAACCAGAAACCAGGAGCTTCTTCCAGGTCTCCCACACAGGTGCAGGGGCCCAAGGACTTGGGCAATCTTCCACTGCTTTCCCAGGCCATAGCAGGGAGCTGGATGGGAAGTGGAGGAGCCAGGACCCCAAACAGCCCCCCTATGGGATGCCGGTGCTACAGGCAGTGGCTTTACCCGCTATGCCACAACGCTGGCCCACATAGATGTTTTTCCACACCTTGTTTGAACAGGTCAGATACAGTCATGTCTTTTCTTGTCCCCACCCTTCTCCCACCTTCTGGAAGGAGGGAGAGGCAGCACGCCCCCTCCCACTGCCGTGGCCCACTTTCCCCGGCCGCCTGGTCAGCCCGGCTTTCCGCTGTCCTCCCTCCGGCTGTCGGGGGCCGGCTGCTCTCTGGCCTAGATTGCCTCACTTCAGTGCCAGTTCCCATCTGATTACGCGCAGGGACCAGAGCCCAGAGCAGCCAGCAGTGAGCAGAGCAAAGAAGTCGCTGGAGCCTCTCGCGACGAACACGAAAATCTGAACAAAAAAGGGACCTCTCCTTTTATGCAAACAGCATTTTCCAGGATGGCTTCAGGGGGCACAGAGCAGCACCCAGGAGGAAGGAACAGGCCTTATGTAAGCGTGTATTTGTAAATCTTACAGCAAAAGCTCTGGTGAGAAACAAATGCAAACTACAGGACTTTACAGGAAATTTTTCCCTCAAAAAAAATTTTTAATATTAGGAACAGCTTTTACATTTTAAACTAGAACACTGGAAGAGGAAGAACACACGTCCTTTATAATTCTGTGTGCTGAAACTGCTGTCCAGTGACTCGTCTCTCCTTGCAAGTTTACTCAGCCAGCATCCCCCATTCATCACACAGCAGTCCCTGGGAGACGCCTGAAGTTACAAAGGATCCCGGACCAGTCAGACTCCATCGACTACCCAACCTACACTGCCCGCTGCCCTAGAGTGAACACAGTAATTTGCTTTGTAATAACTAAGTAGTAATGAGAATGATGAAAACATGAAATATACTACAGACTTAAAGCTCTTATCTCCACAAGGTTAGAGTTGGGGAGTGGGAATATGTTGCTTTTATTCACAATTATATTTATAGTGACTACTTGCACAGTTTGGTAGATTTTTGGAATACAAGTAAGAGTGAATTAGGGGGGCACCGGGTTCTAGTCCCAGCTGCTCCTCTTCCAGGCCAGCTCTCTGCTGTGGCCCAGAAGTGCAGTGGAGGGTGGCCCAAGTGTTTGGGCCCTGCATCACCTCCTGGGAGACCAGGAGGAAGCACCTAGCTCCTGGCTTCGGACTGGCGTAGCTCCAGCCATGGCGGCCATTTGGGGGGTAAACCAATGGTGGGGGGGGACCTTTCTCTGTCTCTCTCTCACTGCTTAACTCTATCTGCCAAATAAATAATAAAAAATATTTAAAAAATAAAAAAAGAGCGAATTAGAATTACATCCAAGATTTCAAAAACTTGTGGGGAGAGAGTTCATCAATGTTGACAGAGGCAGGGACTGGGTACCAGGCAAGTATGAGAGGGCTTCAAAAAATTCATGGGAAAATAGGACTGAAAGAGAAATTTGTACTGGTGCAAAGAAAAATCTAAGTTCATATGTAATTTTCTCATAATACACACTTTCTAGGAATATTCTTAAAGATTTCTTTATTTAAAAGGCAGAATGACAGAGAGAGAGACTGATAGAGAAGATCTTCCATCCACTGGTTCCCTTCCCAAACGGCTGCAATGGCTGCAGCTGGGCCAGGCCAGAGTCCAAAGCCTAGAGCTCCACCCAGGTCTCCCTGGTGGGTACAGAAGCCCAAATATTTGGGGCATCATCTGCTGCATTCCCAGGGACGGTAGTAGGGAGATGGACCAGAAGTGAAGAAGCCAGGACTTGAACCAGTGCTCATGTGGTACTTAAGCCACAATGCCAGCCCCCCTACCAAGTTTTTTAAAGACCTAACATTTAGTGGTTGGCATGTGGCACAGCAGGTTAAGTTACCACCTGCAATGCCAACAGCCCATATGGGCGCCAGTTCGAGTCCCAGCTGCTCTACTTCCAATTCAGCCTCCTGCTAATGCGCCTGGGAAAGCAGCAGAGGAGAGCCACTGCAACCACACAGGAGATGCAGAGGAAGCTCTTGGCTCCCGACTTTGGTCCTGACCCAGACCTGGTCGCTCAGCCATCTGGGGAGTGAACCAGTGGACAGAAGATCTCTTTAATTCTGTCTCTCCCTCTCTCTCCTCCCCGCCCCCACTGACTTTCAAAATAAATAAATAAATAAATCCTAATAAAATAAAAGAGTGATTACAAGAGGCCTTCCAAATGAATCTTTCAAAAATTAAAATACAGACCTTGCATTCATAGAAGTTCAAAATTGTTTTACACCACAAACCTTAGCTCTTTAAAGATTTATTTATTTTATTTGAAAGGCAGAGTCACAGAGAGGCAGAGGCAGAAAGAGAGAGAGGTCTTCCATTCCCGGGTTCACTCCCCAAATGGCTGCAATGGCTGGAACTGGGCCAATCCAAAGCCAGGAGCCTGGAGCTTCCTTCAGGTCTCCCACAGGGATGCAGGGGCCCAAGGAACTGGGACATCTTCCACTGCTTTTCCAGGCCGCGGTGGAGAGCTGGGTTAGAATTAGAGCAGCCAGGACCCTGCACTGCAGGTGGCAGCTTTACCTGCGATGCCACAGCGCCAGCCCCACCTTCTCTCTTAATTCTCTTTCTCTGTAACTTTTTAAAGCATCCTCACAGAAACAGAAGAGACATCAACTTTGGCATGGGAGAGAATGCGAATGCACAGCCAGCTGTCAGGACACACACTTTAACAAGAGAGCAGAGACAGCGTACAGACAAAAACATCTCAGGCACCGTCTTCAGAGAGGAATACTCCATCCTCTGGTCCGTCATTCATCAGGGCGTTACGGAGCGTGCTTTGCCTAAAGGAACTCACGGAAGAGCGGAAGTGACTCTCACCTCTCAGTTACCTCACCAGTAACTCGGAGACATCTTGGGCAGGATTCCCAAGGAACTACACCTTGTGGACTGTGGATGCTGAAAACGAAATTCCCATGAAAGAGCCAGATCTCGAGTTCCAACTCAGTGCTTTGTATCCAAAAAAAAAAAAAAAAAAAAAAGCAGTAGGGGCAACCCCAGAAGTCAAAGAAGTTCCCGAAGGAAGTTTTCCTTCAAGGCTGTGTTTCTGAGATGCTTGGACACCCAGCAAACTGCAGCTGCCCACCACGCTTTCAGTCTCCACGAAAAAGCGCCAGGCCCCACTCACTCTCAGCCTCAACCTTCCCTCCTCTCTTTCTCCTCTTTTATTTTTTTTTTAGGGGGGGTGGGGGGGTCAGCCTTTCCAAGTGCTTTCTGGATATCTGAGTAAACTACCAGCAGGTGTAATTCATTACATTTAAAACTCTAAATTAGTTTTAAAAAAGAGTTATTTATTGGGGCTGGTGTTGTGGTGCAGCAGGTTAAGTTGCTATGTGTCACCCAGCACCTGACATGAGTGCCGGTTTGAGTCCCAGCTGCTCCACTTCCAATCCAACTCCCTGTAATGTGCCTGGGAAAGCAGAGGAAGATGGCCAGAGTGCCTGGGACGCTGTCACCCACGTCGGAGACCCGGATGGAG